TCATGTATCTCAGCTCCAGATGTTCGTCTGATCCCATGCACACATAATGAAGGATGCTTCCTGTCTCAGAAAGCCTGCCTCTATGTTTTCATCTCTGTCTTTTGCTTTCTGCCTTAATAGAGGTTCAGATCAATAGAGCTTGCCCTGGGCAGAGACCTTTAGCACTGATGCCGATTGTTCCAGGAACTCTGACTGCAGAGCCCAGACCTTTTTCTGTGAAGCCCACAAAAGACCCTGCCTTCAACATTTTCGATTTAGAAGCAGGTTTATTTTGTCACAGCGTCTTCACTCAATATTTTACTTAGCCACAATTTGCACAAATTCAGCCTGGTGTGATGATGAATAGGTGGTCATTTTAACCTAGATGAAAGATCCTATCTATAGCAAACATTTGTAGTTGCGGATGAAGACCAGAGCAGGGTTTGTGGTACATTCTGGGACATGATGAGTGGTGCTCCATCTTTCATTTTAATCGTTTTCTGAAAAATCAACGAAACAAGAGGTTGTTACTTCATGCAGCATTGCAGTCTGAAAAAGCATAACATCTATACCATGTTTTAAGAAAAAAGCATGTCAAACTGAGGCAAACGTAAGTAATTGACATCCTGGAGTACAAAATGATGGATGTTGTTACTAAAGACATGTACATAGACCAGCATGCATTTCTGCCTTCTTTCATTGTTGAAGCGTATTTTAATTTTTTAACAATGATATACAACATTTGTTTACATCAGGTGTACCCAACCTTGGTCCTGGAGAGCCCCTATCCAGCATGTTTTAGTTGTTTCCGTGTTTCGGCACGTTTGAATCGGTGGTGATTAACAGACTTCTACAGAACTTGATGAGCTACTCAACAGGCAATTAAGCCATTAAATCAGGTGTGTTGGAGCAGGGAAACAGTTTAAACATGCCGGATAGGGGATCTCCAGAACCAGGATTGTGCACACCTAAAACCTGAACTGGAATGAGCCACTAGAGGGCAGCTGTTTACGCTGGCCTTCAACTTCAAGCAATTGGCTTGCACTAAAGTTTCTTTAGATCATCCCCAACACCTTACACAACTCTAAACCTTTTAGTAATATTAAGTCAGCGACTCTGGTCAAGCTCTCTCTTGGTGAATGAACAGTTTCTCTCCAACAAGAAGACCACATGATGAGTGTCAACGGCTTGTGAGGGTGAACAGTTTTTGTGCCCAGCTGGTCACTCACAAGGGAGAGAATAAAAGCCAAAAAGATTGGCTCGAGGTGAGTTTAATTATCTCTTTAGATATCACATTTGTCAGGGAGTTAGACTCCCCTTTCTTTTAAACAATATTTATTTTGCTTTGACGTTTTGGTTTACTTGCAGATTTGACATTAATTACTTAGCCAAATATTCACTTTAAAACGTCCCAGAAGTTGAGTTGTTAAAGTGACTGATGGTGTGAAGGAATGAAAACTGTTCTGCTCATAAAAATCTCATTATTTACTAAAGAGAGCCATCTACTGGGATAAAGCTGAATAAACCATCTACAGATATTACTGCTTGCTCATGTCCGTTTCACACAGAAATCATCAGTATATGCAGATAAGTTGGAGCTTTCTGCAAGGCTCTGTCCTTGGTCTAAACAACCATGGGTCTAAACCAATTTTTAGCCATTATGTGGCACAAAGATGTGAATAACTGAGGTGTGTTCCATTACAACGCCCTCGGCTCCTGGTTTTTATATGAACTAGGAATGAAGGACGTTAAACCGCAGTATGAAGGTTACTGGTATAGTAATGTGTTGCAAATGACACACAATGTCATACAAGGTGGGAGTCATTAAGTAAAAACACAGTTTGTCTGTTTATGACACATCCCATCCTATGTCTGGGAGCTATGTTGGGCCATTCTCTCACATGAAGAAAAGTCCAGATCTGGTTGAAGACAAGGAGAGAAAGTCCTAAACGACCATGGCAACATAACAATGCTGCTCTACACATGACCGATTATGCCTCAGTTTTACTCAATTAATATAGTTGACTCTAAATGCTTTCTTCAGTTTATTTAGGAACCTGGTCCTGAAGATGTTGGCAAAGCTTTTGGACAAAGAAGTGCGTATTCAAGGTGGTGGTGATATCTGCCAAAAGGAAGGCAAGTCTTTGCAATCCTGTTACCCATGGCCAGCCAATTTATTTATTTATTTTTGAGCCATCAGCAACTTGGGTATCAGCAGCAAGCAACAATTTCACAAATCTGATTTGACACCAAATCCTTAAGTGGTGGCCAGATTTCCTCATTGTCTCCACGATGAAACTGGTGAAAGATGATCAGTAGGGTATGGATGCCAAGTTATTAAAAAGGGGCCGAACCTGATTTGTCTACAAGGAGAGTAAACATTTATGTGAAGAATGTCTCTAATGTATTTAATTTAGATGCATTAACGTCTGAGTCATGAACACATGGAGGAATCTTGTTGTTATGATGAAGGTATAAAAAAAAGGAAACCAACAAGGCAAATATTAGTTAAAGTCCAGTTATGGACTATGGCAGTGAACCTCAACTGGCGGCCCACGGATCACATCCGGCCCGCCAGACCTTTCCCAAATATCAATAATTGTTTACATTCTGCAAACACAACTAAACTTCAAACAAAACAGTTTAGATGGGGAAAAAAGTCCATCCATCCATCAATTTTCAGCTGCTTATCCAGAGTCGGGTGGCGGGGGCAGCAATCTAACAGAGGTCCAGACTTCCCTGTCCCCAGCCACTTGGGCCAGCTCCTCTGGGGGACTCCCAAGGCCAGCTGAGATATAGTCCCCAGCATGTCATGGGTCTTCTCTTGGCCCCCTCCCAGTTTGATGTGCCTGGAAAACTTAACCAGGGGGAGTGTCCAGAAGGTCTCCTGACCAGATGCCTGAGCCACCTCAACTGGCTCCTCTCGAAAACAAATTTTAAATTTTGATGAATTAAGATACAATAATACTTGAACTATTTTTAGAAGAGCATCTGCCCCTAATGGTGTCTACTGGAAATAACTCCGGCCCTTGAACAAATTTAGTTGTGGACTCCTGAACTATGGGTCACAGAGAGTTCCTACACTGTAAAATCTGATTAGTTCTGCTTAGTTGAAAAAAAGCACACAAACAAATTGCCCTTAAAATTACAAGTTCTCAGGAGTAGGTAACCATGTGTTGGAGCTACTAATACTTACCAAGTAAAATTAACTTAAATACAAGTTACTTTAACCAGGAAGAACTAGTATAAAGAACTTAGAAATGCACCTACTGAACAACTTTGTGTTTTTGCTGATTTTTAAATCTGAAATTAATTAGTGCATTTAATTAGGTTGAAATGTATTAGTGTATTTTAATTGTGCTGTCACGTTGATGCTATTCTCACTAATGGAAAGCCCACTCAATTTCCTCTGTGTGTGAAATGTGCTATGTAAACAAATCTGCCTTGCCTTGTATTTCTGAGTTGGATAAATGTAAGCAGTAGTACGCACATTTCAAAGTACTCTGTACTAGCTTGTATTAGAGTAGCCTACATTTTAGTGCATTTTACTTTGTGTGCAACACATTCTCACACCCAAAGCGTCGAAAAATGACGCTGGTTGACCAAGTATTTGTTCAGCTGACGTGCTGTGCCAGAGCATCGGTTCCTGACGTCCACAGTAAAACAGACATTTCACATGTCTGACCTTTACCCTCTTGCTATTCAACCTTCCCCTCACCCCCATCCTAACTTTAACCCTCGTCAAAACTTTGTTCCGAATTGTAACTTCCCTCTCCAACACGGTTATCGGGGCGTTTAGAACGAGCAACAGGGTTAAGGTTAGGATGGGTGTGAGGGGAGGGTTAAATAGCAAGAGATTAGAAGTTAAATGTTGGTGAAATGCACGTTTTAACGTGGGCGTTGCAAACCAACGCTCTGGCACAGCGCGTCAGCTCCCGACGCAATTGGACTCCCAATGCGTCGGAAACAAACGCTTTGTCGCCCAGCGTCATTTTTCGAAGCTTTGGGTGTGAGAATGTGTTGTTGTATGCATTAGTAGCTCCAATACATAATTTCCTAGTGCCGTGTATTTTGTCATTTTAAAGAGCAAGTCAACCCCTACCAGAGTCTAACTCCGCTCTCACTTCATGTTTGAAAAATGCAACAAATGCTGTTGCCTGGCAGACCGAGAAGGCAGAGCTGCTAACACACACACACACACACAGGCTCACGACAGCATTGTGACATCATAATGTACCAGTTTACACCATAGCATACCTCTTAGCCAATAGCGGTGGCAGATTTAAATTAAAATACAGTGCAGAGTTTTTACCTGACAACGGCACAACACTGCCAGTTTTAGGCAGAATATTTAAATTTTAACTAGATGCACTGAAGTACCAAATTATTGACGACACATGTCTGCAGCACGATTAGACACTCATTTATATAGTTTATCAGCAAAAAAAGTTGATTTGGGGGTGACTTGCTCTTTAAATAACTAACTGGATAAGGTAGGGGGGTGTAGATTGATTGTGTACCTGAAGATGGACAGATTATTTTCAGAAATTCTGGCGATTTCCAGCAATAAATTACCACAAAAAGTCCTGGTGCACACTATGGGTTTAAAAAAAGTCCCAATACTGAATAAAGCTGGACCACTCAATGATTCGTCATCATATCACATTTTTCCTTTGCCTGATCTAGGAAAGAAAATTGTCAGTTTTACATTTTAGCACTTAGTTATTAAGAATTTGTTCTATATCTCTGACTTCTCTTCCTTTTTTGTCCCATTTTTACAAAAATGGGCAGATAAATAAACATCCTCTAAGAGTTAGCTTCATCTTTTTCATGAAGTTGGTTTACACAGAAAGTTTCACATAAATTGATGTAAAAGATAAAGCTAAGACTTGAAGAATAAGTTATAGTGAAAGTGATTATTTTACACAATGTTTTGGTTCAAGGTGCTCCAAGGTGCATTACATGATTAACAGATATCTCAGATGATGAGCCTGCTTTCCTTGGAATGAACAAACACAAAATTCCAAATGAAATAGTCTTTTTATTAGAGGAACTAAGCAAAAATGTTCAGAGAAATCAATAATTTCTCTCAAAAAGCTTGTTGACAAAATCCACACTCAGATAGACGTTTAAACCCACGAGGAAGAATTCCCTCTCCTCTCTGGTCCTCACGAGCTGCATCTTCACTTGAACATTTGAGTCCTGATGCTGGATCAGAAAGGCGTCGCCATCGTAATCGTATGAGATGGTCGGGTTCTCCTGCTCCATGGAAACGGGAGTGCAGACACACACGACGAGTTTCGTAGGCATGTGCGTCAGAGTCAGACTCATGATGCAGCAGTTCTGTTGAATCGTAAAAGAGTAAATATGTGTCAGCGTGTACACACACACACACACACACACACACACACACACACACACACACACACACACACACACACACACACACACACACACACACACCATGCATATATTGTACTGTGCTTAGAGAAATAATGCACACTCTAAGAAACTAAATGTTGAATTTGGTTAACTGAGTTATGTCAACTGATTCCAATAAACCTAGATAGTTAAAGGTGTGGTTCCTTGTTTAATCGATACATCTGCTGTGGTCTCTAGAATGAATGCCTTGTAAGTCGTACGCTAGGAAGCACCAGTGTGCTTGCATCAGGAACTAGAAGTGAGCCACTTCAGCGCTGAGCTTCAGACAGCAGGATTTGGAGTCTTACTTCCTGATATTTGGACATCTCGAATTGGATAACAGCAACTCTACTACTCTATTTACTTTGCAACGTTGATGTTTAATCTCCACAGATCACGCAAGCCTGAAGGAGTCCTGCCGTGTGGTGGAGTTGCTAATGCTAACAGGTAGCTTCTAGTAGCCAAGGCTTTGCCTGCTGTTTCCTGGACGCTAAACCAACAGCAGCCTTCCTCGTCGTGAGTCAAGCTGGGCGACAGGCGCGTTGCAAGATTTTCAAAAGTGTGGGGATGTTGTCTGTGCCTAAAATAATTTCATGTTATTCATCTTGTTCATTTAAAGAGCAAGTCACCCCTTACAAGAAGCGTACTCCACTCCCACTTCATGTTTGAAAAATGCAACAAATGCTGTTGCCTAGGAGACTGAGAGGGTGGAGCCACTAACAAATACACACACTCACGACATTGTGACATCATAATGTACCAGTTTACATCATAGCATATCTCCTAGCCAATAGCAGTGGCAGATTTAAATTCAAATGCAGTGCAGAGTTTTTACCTGACAACGGCACAACACTGCCAGTTTCAGGCAGAAAATTTAAATTATAACTAAAACGCACTAAAGTGAAAAACTATTGACTACACGTGTCTGCAGCACGATTAGACACATATTTATATAGTTTATCAGAAGAAAATAGTTGATTTGGCGGTGACTTGCTCTTTAATTTCCATAATAGCGGAGCAGGTGCGAATTTTAGACGCGTCACGCATGTCTCCATTTTAAACATGTTTAAACTGTTCAGAATACAAATCCAGGCTCTGTCTCATTAGATTGGTGTAACTAAAGTTTGTACTGAATGAAAGTTTACATTAAACCATGTTGAAAAGAAAAGGATCCGATTAAATCGTTTCCCCCTCATTTACAGTCAGCGCAGTGCGCATGGCTCTGGGGTTAATCAAGTTTAGTTGTTTCTCTTTGCAACAATCTTCACAGGAAGGTAAAACAGTTAAATGGCAGGTTACAGATACTTCCATTTGACTGTTTATTTTGACGGATAAACTCAAGAATGCTGGCTGTTTTGAAAGAACAAGAAACCCGGTCTCTCTGAGGGATGTGTCTCTTGGAAAAATGTTCTCTGATTATGAAACTTTGGCTGAATAGCGCTTGTTCCTGTCTCTAATACGGAGACGCATGACACATCCAGTCTGAGGCAGAATAGCCCCTTCAGCTCAGAAAGCACCTGTAGAGACATTTGATCACGCAAAAAGTTTATGTGGAACAGAAGCGGTCGGGCCACGGCAGGTGAAATGAAGTGAAACTGTTTAATTGTAACATTAATGTGTTACTGGACACGCTGGGTTGGTTAGACCAGTGTTTGAAGTGGAAAACACACACACACGCGCACGCACGCACGCACGCACGCACGCACACACACACACACACACACCAATTAAAATAATGCTGATAGCGTGGACTAGCAGGTGATGGTTTACGTATTTAAATGATGATCAGGCTGCTGTAAAATGTAATCTCCATCCACATCCAGACACAATTATCCTCTATTCTTTCTCTAGTTGCTCTGCTCTTATCTGGGCTGACGTAGCTGACGGTGCGCGCGGCGCGCCTAACGGCTGTGGTGCACATTTTATGCATTTGGAGAGGTGGGCTGGATGCTTTGCTTTCACTGGAAGATGGTCCACTTAATGCACGGGTGTAGACTACATATTAATGACAAATGAATTAAAATGAAATTGGGAGTTTTTACTTCATAATTAAGAAATAAAAATGACGGGGAACACATTTATGACGTCTTTTTAAACGAAAATTTCTAGCGCGACCTGCCTGCTTCACTTAAGTCACTGCTTATTAAGGTCCGTCCAAAATTACCGTGGCCCACCCAAAAATGAAAACCTGGTGCCGCGCCTGTTATAAACCTCTGCATATTATTGTGCTTCACATTATCAAACTCAGACTTTGTACAGCTAATGTCAAGATGTAAAATTATGAATTCAGTCGAGCTCTTCCGTCCCTCCCTCTCCTGCTCTCCTTGAAACCCGACATTGGCTGTCAGAAGAGGGAGAGGAAGAAGGAGATGAGGCAAACAGAGTGAGTGTGATGTAAAGAAACCAGACTGGTGTGGAGGTGAGCCAAACGGCTGAAAAGTGAGGGTGTTGAACGATCTCAATAAGAAAAGTGTGGGTGTTGAATCCCCCACATCCCCCACGGGTGTGACACCCATGCTGGGTGAGTCCATGAATGTTAAGTGACAGTGTAACGTAGATATTTGAGGGTTTTCAAATCCTAGAGTTTCACCGACTATTTTCTATCAGAAGCTAGGGTGACCAGATCCCAACTTGCCAAATGTGGGACAGAGACTACTCAATGTGGGACAACGTGAAGTTCCAATGTAATGAGAAAATAACAAACAAACAAAACCTATATTCTGCCTTTTAGCCCTAACATCAGTGCTACATATACATCACGTTGTTATTATTCTTATTATCATCATATATTTCTTGTATATATATTATTGGAATTCAACGTGAAGAAGCATACAGCAAAAGCTTTTCTATTTCACAGTTCCTCTCAAGCCACCACAACATGACTCAGGCTCTCTGGGCCTTCTGTAGTGGCTCTGATCGTTTTAATAATATAGATAGGCCCACAATAATAAAAAAAATGCAGGTTTAAGCAGCTTTTCAGAGTGTTCATTGAATGTTTCCACAACAGAATGACAGTAAAAGTATCAGTAATATTTTTAGATGGATTTATGTTTGTTTTTAATAAATTTTCCACTAAAATCAGCATCTCGTTGAAAAAATATCCACACCTTTTTGCTTTTTATTTCTTAATTCAGAAACAAAATGATTATTTTTAGCATGACAACACATATCTTCTAATTTTAGGTGAGAGAACAAACATCAGATTCTAATCTCTAAAAAATTCAGATTTAGTCTAATAATATTTTCTTAGAGTTACTTGTTGCCTCACATTTCTGAGAACAAGTGATCAAAGCTTCCAGTTATTCTCATTATTTCTTCACTATGCTTTAAGGGGCTCAGCATGAACACAGGTATCTGACACCGCAGCATATTGTCTGTGATAGAACCTCCATTGTGTTTATCATGGACCTGTCTAATTACTGGAAAACCTGCTTTTGACCTCTTCATATCACACTCTGCACCGAGACATGAAAGAATGACTCAGAAACAATAAAGACTGTGTTGATTATCTCTGAACACGTTTAATTCATGAGTTTAAAGCATTTTCTCCTCCGTGCTCACTCACGCTTGTTTTGGTTGCTCGGGTGCACTCCACACTGCATTAAAGTCCCGCCTCCGTTTGATTGACAGCAACAGGCAGATTGTTCCACGGTTTCTTTTATAAGATTGAAACTGTCAGTAATGCGGGACGTGAGTCTTACTTTGCGGGACACGTGAAAAGTAATGAAAATGCGGGACTGTCCCGCACAAAGCGGGACATCAGGTGACCCTAACAGAAGCTAATGCAGGAGATAAACGTAGGAGACTATTTTCATGTTCAGCCTGCAAGAAAAACTCCGTGACTGATTATAGACAGAAAAAATGATTAAATAATGTTTTTTCAGTGAACCACACCTTTGTTTTTGCCTAAATACTTGTAGCCATGTATATTATGCTTTATATCTAAGCATCTCGGTTTAAATTCAACGTTTCATTTTTTAGAGTGCATGGTTAAAACTAATATGTTTAAGAATACAATAAGCAAAGTTTTACATTAGACCATTACTAATGATTTTAAATGACAAAACAAATTGTAGGTTCCATTTGTTATTGTTTACTAAAGTTTAGCAGTTAGCAAAAATACCCTTCAAAGCACTCTCAGTACCTCCACTGTGCCTTGTATGGCCTCACTCCTCCAGGGTAGAGCGATGATGCCTGGCAGCTTTTGATGATGAGACAAGTTTTCTCTGCTAACTGCTGTGAGCCGAATCCGTCCGTCACAGATGTTTTCTGATTAAAGGCCACAGCACAGAACAGCAATGTTTTTAAATCACGAGAATTTGCATGTATAAAATCTGTTTCTGTTTACGAAGGACGGCATCACATTGTTATAAACTTACCTCTTCGACAGAAGAGCGCCAAATAGCGCTGAGACAAGAGCATGTTTCTAGTGTCGTGGAGTCCAATGTGCAGGACGTAACCGTGGAGACCATATTCAGGATCTATGTCGTCATAACCTGGTTTGATTATTTGCTTTGCAAGAAGACTGAAGAAAAAACAAAAGATTTAGAATTTTTTTTATTGCATGGGTACTTTAGATGTTTACTGATTGAATGAACTCTAATCCTAAAACAGCATTTTCTATAGATGCCACTAGAGGGAGCCATACCCACAGAATGTGAGAGCACTATGGTCCCACCACTCAGCTCTACAGTGGAATTCCACAAATATGAGACAACTGAAGTCTTCTTTTCAGGAGAAGGCAGGAACTATAGGGTTTGGCTTAAAAGTAGCCCTGACATGTGACAACAACAAGATACCTGAGGTAGACATAATATTCATCTCTTCAGAGGCCATCAGGCGTGTCTGAGCTGACGCAGCAGTGAGTAACACATCAGTTATCACTGCTTTTGAACAAGAGCCATCTAAAGTTGTAACCAAAACTTTTGAGAATGGGGGAAAAAAATGTAACAATGCATCAGCTTTTATGATGGCAGCTTGCATAAACTCCAGAAAGTTCTGTAGAGTGAGCTAATGAATTACAATTAATTACAAAGTACCTCTTTGTCAATAAAACAAATAAATAAAAATACAAAAACCCAATGTTCACAGTACTGACAAAAATGCTACAGGATGCTGAAGAAAGTCCAGCAAGCACCTAGCCTATCAAACCCTCCTATATATGTAAATTCATAGTCTGTCACAGAGGGAGCCTAAGGTCCTGTCCACATGTAGCCGGGGATCTGCCAAAACGTAGATTTTTTTCTACGTTTTGGCCTGTCATCCACACGAAAACTGAGTTTTTTCACACGAAAACGGATCTTTTTAAAAACTCCGGCCAAAGTGAAGATCTGCGTTTTCTCCGTTTTGGGTGTCTGCGTGTGGACAGACAAAACCGGAGTTTTAAGGTCCACAACGTCACTTTCCGCGACAAGAAAATGCTGACATCACGTGTGCGACCTGTGTTTACACTAACCGGCATCATGGAAGTCCTCAGAGCTGCGCTCTGTCACTACCCGATCCATCAATTGTCCAAGCGCTTTTTGCTTGTTTGTTTTTGCAAGCGGTATTACTGCTCCTTGTGGAAGACCACAGACGAAGGACGAGGTTAAGAACGGGGGAAGTACTGCCGCCTACAGGTCTGGCATGTCCTTAACAACGTATTTATCCGGGTACGTGTGGACAGAGCTATTTTTTAAAACGCGGTGGTGTGGATGCAAGTTTTTGGAGGGGCGGATATTCGTTTTTAAAAAAACCCGGCTACGTGTGGACTAGGCTTAAGTCACGCCCATCTACCACTGGGCCATGGGTCAGCGGAAGAATGAAAATATATCACATTACATCACCTTACAGCTACCACATCACATCTCATTATTCATATCTTGTCATGTATAAATTATTAGTTTAGTAAAAAGAATTTAATGCATTTTATAAACTTCATACCTGACTCTGTCTGAATTAATACGAAGTGTGTTTATGGTCCCTGAACAAGTAAATGTAACTAGAATCTTCTGATTAAACATTCAGAGATCAATCAGGTTGATATTTCATATTTATATGGCATCATCACATCTTATTGGTCATAATTAATTTGTAGTTTCACGCTACAGGAGCTATCTTTTAATCCTGTTTATGTGCCATGGCTTTCATGTATGATGTTCACTAATTTTAAAGACAAATTCTGATGCCAAGAAAGAGCTTTTTTTTTGAACGGGGCAAAAGTTATTAAAATTTTGTGTGAAAATACGTCCAGGACTACAAATGTGCATCACTAATTCACGTCATTGAACCAGACACGAAGAGCAAAGGGAAAATGGCCGTAATTTAAGCAAACTTCAAATCCTTCCCTCAGGAGGAAAGAACCATCTTAAACCTGGCAATGTGGTACGTAGAGGAGATTATGAGGTGATGTCATATTTGCGACTAGCTGACATCTGATAGGAATTACAAATTTTAACAAGCTGATAAATCTCAAAGTACACGACCGGCGTGGTTGAAACACACATCATTCGTTTTCATTTAAATGGACAAACAACATAAGTGCGATTCACGGCGGAAGGCTAAGCGGATTAGAAAATAGCTCCTTTAGCCCCGTTGACTTGCATGCATTTTTCGTTCTTCCGGGAACCCACGACCCGAAAAAGAGAAGACTTAGGCTCCCTATAGACAGAGCTCAGTCGTAGGGGTGGAACCTACTGTTGTCCCTGCACACAGTTGGACAGCGTTAGAACCAATCAGAAAACAAAGTGACATATTCCTACAAATCAAGAGAAGTAGAAGAAGTACCTGCATCTGCTCGTCTCAAACAAAGGCCCAAGTCTAAATCATCCAAAGCTGATGCCAAAGCCGTTTCAAACAAGAGCTGTTCCTGAGCCGTCGCCATCGCTGTTGTTTTGCTCTGCTGTATTGATGCTAAAACTGCCCAAACAGCTCTCTACAAACATAGAGCGCCGTGATTGGCCCAGCCTAAACTCAGGCAAGCCAATGGTAGATGTGCTGAAGCTACAATGGAGCATGGCGAGACAGACCTGGAGAGCAAAATGTTTTGCCATGGCTATGATTTCTTTAGATTTCCAGGCTAGCGGTTTCCAGCATGATGGAGCAGAATTTTATGAGTTTAAATATCTCAATTTTAAGTCCATGTCCAAGGAACCTACTAAGAACTTGTGGTCATTCCTCAAAAGGCTGATGAACGAACAAAAGACACAAATTCTTAGGAGATCAAAGACAATGATCGTAGAAGAATGAGTTCCCATTGGCCAGGATTTGGCCTGAATGTTTATTGGTAGCCTGCCACGGTGAAATGCAGTGGTATAGATAGAGAAGGACCAAGACTGCAGATATTGACTCTTTGAATTAACCTAATGTATAAAAGCCTTTAAAACTTATAAAATGTTTCTAATCACACTTTTGTATAAAGATCTAAAAGTACTCTGTGTACACCAACAGGCTAAACTTTGCTAAAAACAAAGACGAATGTGAGAAAAGGCACCTACCGATAAGAGCTTGGGTTAACGATTCTGTTTGCCAGATTGTGGACATGGAGGGTGAACATAATGAAGGCAATGGAGCTCTGATCCTGCAAAAATACAGTATACCTTGTAAATTGGCCACATACTCACAGCATTAAGCTAATGAATAATTCCAAGCAAAGTAATTACCTTCCAGACACCAATGAGGACTCCAGGCTGTACCAACTTCAGCTGCACCAGCTGGTCCTCACCAATAACTTTTGCGTTTAGAAGTTGAACGTCCAGTTTTGCCACGAGGGACCTCCAGCCAGGTCTGACAAGGCAAGCAAAAAAACAGCTGGTTTCACAGAGAGATAGTAACAAAGAATGATGTAGCGTCAGCGCTACAATGAGAAGGTTGGTATAGATGCTTTTTGTCTTTACGTCTTTACGCCGGGGAGGCTGAAGTCAATCCTCCTGATACCGTGGAGTTGGATGGTGGTAATCTGTTCGTAGTTGGGCAGCGAGTCTCTTCCGAACCAGCACACTGCTATCGAGGTCTCAAAGAACTTGGACCAGCTCATCTCCAAAGTACAATCATGCCCAGACTTATCAGTAACTGTCAGATCCCAGACAACGCCCAAGCGTCTGAAGAGAGACAATGCAATGCTTAAACACAGATGCACATGAGGAGTAATGGGACTGAGAATTTAGCTAAAGCTCTTTTATTTATATAATGGAAAAAACAACTAACTTCACCTCCATGACCCATTTACTGCAGAGTTTGGCCAAGAAACGTGACTGCTGCCTTTTTAAATCAGTGAAATGATGACATTAATGGCTTGAACGTTTCTTTTGTCAGCAGCAGGTAGAAGCGCAGCTCCTTTTTAAGCTGTTCCTACTAATGAAACGATGTGTCGCAAATGAAATGAAACTGCAGCTGTTGTGATAAATCTCTCGATCCAATTCTGTCTAAACTGTGATTCACAGCTGCCCCCACTGTGACGTAGCCGGCATCTCGCTGAGGCACCAACCAATATCAGTTAGATGGAGGAACAAGGCTGAGTACCGGAGCAGCTCAGGAGGCCTCCGGGTGACCCAAGGGAATTCACTCTGCACCGTCTGTATGTGCAAAGTCTTGTGAAACGATTATTACAAAGGTAAATCGCATGTTCCTCAATGCCTATAACGGACAGCCTCCCCATGGGGAAGTGTCTCAGCTGGTGGGAGGAAGAAGAGAGGCATGAGCACATATCTGTGTGTGTGTTTAGGCTGGATAATTTATTTCAACAATTCAGGCAGCCTCTGCAAAGAACACAATTATTTCTACTTCTCTGCAGCACAACAACAGCTACAGAACTCAGAATGGAGTGCTGTACAGCCTCTAATCAGAGGTTATAAAAGCATAGCAGAAACCGCGGTGGAGGTGAAGTAGCTTCCCCCTCCCTGTGTGCCGGCACCCCCTCTGAGCACACATCACATTCAGACGCAGACCTCCTTCCTCACCTTTAATAAGAAAGTGTCATTAAGTTCAGTAGGAAAAAACAACACAAAGACTATTCTGTTTTAGACTGTGGGACGATTGTCTCGGGTCAGCCCAGAACTTTCTACACAGCAAGGGCAGATCTCAAAAGTTTTATTCTCTCTTAACAGAGCTGTAGCAATTTAGGGAATTATAGATGAATGCAAATGGTATTTATGCCACAATTTACTCAATAAGTACAAAACCCCTTTTCACTGGCATTTTGGTAACACCTTACAATAAGGTTTCATTTATTAATATTACTTATTGCATTATTAACCATTAATAGAGAAGCATTAACAACTGCTTAACCATATTATGTAATGCATTACTAAGCAGACACACCCCTTGGACCTTTGTTCTAATCTTAAGGACACGTAATAGTTAACAATAACAGAAATGTTAATAAAGGGATCCTTTATATTATTTATATTTATAATATTTATGAACAACTATGCAGCGGCAGAGCCCCTGGGGTGGATGAGATCTGACCTGGGTATCTCAAGACTTTGGATGTTGTAGGACTGTCTTGGTTGACACGTCTCTGCAACATTGCATGATCATCGGGGGGTAGTTCCTGTGGAGTGGCAAGACTGGGGTTGTGGTCCCACTTTTTAAAAAGGTGTGTTCCATCTGGGTTGGGGTTGGGGGTGGGGTGGTCACACTCCTCAGCCTCCAGGGAAAGGTCTTCTCCAAGGTACCAGAGAGGAGGGTCAGGTCGATAGTTGAACCTCCGATAGAGGAGGCGCAATGTGGTTTTTGCCCTGGTCGTGGAACTGTGGACCAACTCTAGCCTTGTTAGGGTGATGGAGGGGTCATGGGAGTTTGCCCAACCAATCCACATGTGTTGTGTTGATTTGGAAAAGGCCTATGACAGTGTCGTCAGAGGCACCCTGTATGGGGCAATCCAGGAGAAGGGGGGTCTTTTGCTGAGAGCCATTCAGTCCCTGTACCAGAGGAGTGTAAGTTTCGCCCGTATAGCTGGCGGTAAGTCGGACCTGTTCCCAGTGAGGGTTAGACTCCACCAGGGCTGCCCTTTGTCACCGGTCCTGTTCACAATGTTTATGGGCAGGACTTCTAGGCGCAGCCGATGTGTTGAGGATGTAGAGTTTGGTGGCAGGAGAATCTCATCTCTGCTTTATGCGGATGATGTGGTCCTCCTAGCTTCATCAGGCTCTGACTTACAGCTCTTGCTGGGGAGGTTTGCAGCCGAGTGTGAAGCGGCTGGGATGGAGATCAGCACCTCCAAGTCTGAGACCATGGTTCTCAACTGGAAAAGGGTGGCTTGCCAACTCCAGGTCGGGAGAGAGGTCCTGCCTCAAGTGGAGGAGTTCAAGTATCTCGGGGTCTTGTTCACAAGTGAGGGATGGAGGGAGTGGGAGATCGACAGGCGGATTGGAGCAGCGTCTGCAGTGATGTGGACTGGATGTTGTTGATGACTGTGGCGGGAGACGTGTGAGACTGCAGCGTAGTGTCATGTTCTGTGTCCCTTTGTTCCCCAGCCCCTCCAGTTCCCACTCCAGGTTCTCCTTTTGTGTTTCATAGCGCCCTCATGTGTCCTTTGTCTGCGTCTCATTTATGTGTCTCTTTGTGTTCCTCATTTGTCCCCTGGTCTTCAGCCTTCCGAATATATCTCTCAGGTCCTGTGTTCCTTTAGTCTTCTCCAGTCACCCCTCTGCAGTGTTTATAGTTTCATCTTTTCATTTTATCAGTCTCTTTTATATGTTTTGTCCCACCAGTCTTTGTAGTTCTCCTTCCCTTTAGAATATTAGTTATGTGGTTGCTTTTCTTTTTTTTAGGTTTTTTTCTTAGGTCATGCGAGATCCCTCCCTGATTATTGCTTTCACCTGGTCCTCTCCCCACACACCTGCAGCTCATCTGCCTCCCATCATGCCCCAGTTTATTTAAGTCCTGTCTGTCTTGCCTTGTCGGTCCATTGTTGTTTGTTCAGTGTTGTTTTGGTGCTCTGTGTGAGCTTCCTGTCCCGTCCCCAGTTTGTGCTCTAAGTGGGCTTTGGTTCTCATGTTCTGGATTTTTGGATTTTGGCTCCCTGCCTTTTTTTGGATTTAATTTTGTTTATCCTACAATAAAAGGATTGTTTCCTTCATATCCACTCCTGCCTCGTGTCATCTTGGGTTCTGCGTTTTGGGTTCTAACATCCCTCCAAAACGTGACACGTAGAAATGAAGCAAAAAGGCACAGCTGCTACAAATGACTAATCAGACACATTCTACATAAATTCAGTGGACAAGGGGGTTATGGATTGCCTGAGAGAGACGCTGATTACAGGAAGCAGTGGAAACAGTAAATAAAATGTGCACAGATGAAAGCTGACCCAGAGGTAGCTGTCAGTGCTACAGTGTTTCCCTCTCCCCTGCAGCCGTGCGCAAACCGCCACAATAACAGATAGCCTTTTTGATGCGTGTGTGCTACTGTAGCTGTAATATTTACTCTGAACTGTGTGGTGCTAAAGTAAAAATTTTTTCAATACTGGAGTTTTAATGGTAGAAATAAAAAGCATAGAAATGAACTAATCAAATGACAGGTAGCTAAATACATCATTTCAAACTCATTTCCTATTCTACTGCACCTGAGGACGTCTACTGACTGGCCAGTCACATCAGTGTGAGTACTGTAGGGTTTGAGAAAAGAGCGCCATCTTTTCATGTCGAGGGATAATTTTTGGCTGAAGTACATCCGCTTCCAGCTGCCCAAACTTTCATCCTCATTCTTCATCATCGTCACATGTTCCGTTGTCCTTCTTGTCTTTGCAGACTCGATGTATAGCTTGTGCCACAGAGTTCTGCAGAGATTGCATCCGGAAAATCAGAAAACTAGCAGTAAAGGAACGTCAATGGCAATTGGATAAACATTTGAATTTGCATTAAAATTGTTATTTGCACTGTTTATCTAGTTAGAATATCAAAGTTCATGTTGTTTTGAGTCAAATGTACAGTTTAACGTTGCATTGAAGTATTAGATGTTCTTTCCTACTGTTTTCCATTTGAGTTTTTTTTTGGGGGGGGGGGATCAGTATTAAAATATGTTTGAGACTCTTATTATGAAGGGTTATACAGGGTCCTTAACATTCAGGTGTGCTGGTTGCTACACGTTTGCAAATCTGTCCTATATAAAATAAATATAAAGCATCATAATGCAAGCCTAACATTCATTGATGATAACTTCAGATCTGAAAAGAATGAAATTGGAATCAAGGGTTAAACATTTTGATTCTAATATCTCTACTTATTGTAAAAAATTACAATAAATCTGATAATTGAAGTTTTACACAAAAAAAACGTATTGTGGACATGTGAAAGAAATATAATTTTTGACATGATTTTTTATGATTGCTAATAAACACAGAGCTTTCATTGCATTTTTAAAAATCCTTGATATTACTTACTTGTCATTGGCGAGCTGATAGAAGAACTTACTGCAGTAGCTTATGCTTAAAAGTGCACCGGCATCCAGGTATGACAGGATCTTCATCCAAACCTCACGTGGCAGTCTACCAAAGAGCGATAAGAACAATGGAGTACCATGAGACAAATGTCCACTAAACACACAGCTTGGCCATTTTTTTTCTTATATTTCTGTAAATAAAAATGTTTGGTGGCTAAATGAAATTTGGGTGTAGAATTATGTAATTATGTCTTAAATTCCTACATTTTGTTTTTTGGCATCCTGGTGAACAGGGTCAAGTATCCTCAGATTTTTACATTCTTGAAAATTTACTGAATATCAAATATCATGTGAGGATATTTTAGCCAATTCACCAGTTTAGAATAAAAAGTAGCTATACCTACATAAAACACCAGAACTTCCTAAATAAGGGAATAAAACGCCAAAAATTTTACATTTTCTGAATCCAACCTGCTTAAATTTACCCAAATACATAAACCAGGATTTAAAAAAAAGAAATGAAATGAATAAAATAATTGAGAAGGATTACCTTTCCAAATAGTTTAGACTGCACGGAGATTTTTTAGCTCTCGTGGAGGTACTTCCGGTCTGCATCTTGGGAACTTTTTTGGAAGCTAACACATTCTCTGCTCTTGACGACTTTTAAGTAAAAAACGTATAAAAACGTCTTAATTAGTTTTACAGGTAGATTTTAAAGGCTGTAATGTTGACAAGATTGTTTTTAAACATCATGGCTCCATAACCAAGCTGATTTTAGCTAGCTAAAATGCAACAAAAACACAGTCACTGAGGAAAAACTATGTCAGTTAAATAAATGGTGTTCTGCCTGCTCAATAACAACATTTGTTTTACAAATTAGCGATTTATTGCTATAATGTTAACTACGTTTACCTGTTCGCGTCTAGTAGCCATGGTAACCATAGATGACGATTGTTACGGCCGAGAAGAAAACCAAACTTCCGGTGGAAGAAAGTGAAACATTTCTTTTCAAAATAAAAGCTTAGAATATAGAGTTTTTTTATTGTATCATAACTCCAAACGTTAATACGGTTGATTTGTAATTTGTTATTGATTTAGGCGTTAATGTTTTACACTTTTCTTTATTGAGACAATGCTTAGCAGAACTTTGTTGCAATAAGGGTAGTAAAACCCTTATTATTCCTGTAACTTGCATCTTAGAAAAATATGATATCTCATTAAAGCATGAACAGAACTTAATTGAAAAAAAGAATGCTTGACTAATAACACTACACAAAATATAGATGTTTCAATCTAAATATACATAATGCCATATAATATTATATATTAGAATAATACCACAATATTTTATCGGAAAGGTGACCATATTTGACTTCTTGTGAACACTTTGATTCTTAATTTACCAGAAAATGTGAACATTATCATTACCTTCCAGAATGAGTCATTTCAGGGCTCTGTCACTTTAAGAAAACAAACTGCAGTTGGCCACGCCTTTCCATCCCCCACTCAGGCTACTATGAGCTGAGAAGCTCTGATATCCTTTGCACACAAGAGGTGGTTCAATTCTGATTTTCCTGTTTGTGACATCACAAATGAGGACCTTTTTCAAATGGGTTGTTTTCAGGCACATAATTCGCAAAACGAAACACTGAATGAGCTATAAAGGACAGACTTTTTCCCACATTTGTAATGTTTATAGAGGCAGCAGAGACCCAAATGGCAGTAAAAAAGGATGCCAAAGGTGAATTTGGCATGATACATTTCATTTAACACTGATTTCATTGATCTATTCTCAATAAAAACACACAAAATGTGGTTGTCCAACCCTTATTGGAATTTAAATATACATTTAAATGTTCTCTTGGTTACCAACATAACTTCTCCCTGAAGTGAAAGCTTAAATAACTCTAGAGAAAGAGATGAAATGACATATTTCTGAGTAATCGGCCAACCTTTTCTTTTTTCACGCATTCACTTTGTGCATTTAAGAAATAACAAAATGTTTGAGTCTTGCTTGTGCTTGTTTGAGCACATAAACCTTGCTTATTTCCTTATGTATCTATTACACAAAATATTAAAATACTGTCAAAAATGCATGACTCAGAATTTTTGTAGAATTATATTTTTGTTTGATGTTGAAAGAAAAGCACAACGCAGAGCATATTTAGAAAAAAATCTAAAGCAGATGTCTCGTTTTAAGATGCATCACATGACCCACCTCCTAGTTCAGAGAAGCCAGTAGGCTCTGTTAGCTGTCAGGGAAAATCACCATAACGCTGTTGTCAGTCTGGCCGATCAGCTTGCCTGATGGAAGTGAAGTGCCTCTCGGGGAAACAGCAGCCTCTGGTTTAGTAACGTTATGTAGGACACATCCCCGTTTCTCTTGTATGTTTCCTGTACTTGACATTTGAATTCTTTGATTTTTGTCTGTGGCTGTGTCCTTCTGAGGAGCCCGGGGACATCTGAGGCTCTTGGATACCTGATGTCACCCTTCTGCATGATTTGTCTGTAAGCTCTGACAGTGCAATGTTTGTCAAAAAGGACAGAAATGGAGAAGAAGCATTCGCCGTGACAATTAAGTCCAGAATGATCCCATCCTTAGAGCATTAATGGTAACATCTGGATAACACTTTATATGTCAGATTTTTATATGTACTACAGATGAGTTCAAAGGTTTCAGGTGTTTCCCTCCAGCTAATTATTTAAGCTGGAGAGTCTAGACAATAACTTTCTGAATGAATATGCTGAATGCATAATGTAGCCGGGTTGCATACCTTTGAGTAGGAAAATGACAGCTCATTAAAAGTCCAAAGGGAAGGTTCACCACTTGTGAAGCCCACTCTCAGGTGATTCAGCGGTGTGGAGCACTGATGGGGACACCTAACACAGCTCTTCAAAGGACGTCATGTCAGGACTTGAAAGGAAAAGGTTAAAGGTTCCAAAGTGAGGTGCTTTCCCTTCCCTGTGAAGGGAAGCTGATACTTTTATACACCATTCCATTAAAAATGTGTCCTTCATTTATTTATTTACCTCTTAGAACGATTTTAAGGTTCTAAACGTGTCATTTAATCATTCATCTGATGTTCTTGTGCTAATTCTAGAACCAGAAGCCTTTTCTGCAAAGCCAAAGGTGGCCACTGGGTGGCGCACGAGTATCTTTATTAGTCAAAGCTGTGGTTTTAAGTCTCAAATTAATAACATATGCATGCATGGTGAATGAACCATGCACCAGCAGGGTTATCCACTGCAGACCCCCTTCATTTCGGATTAATCAGGGCCAGACGTGTGGAAATCACAGCACATAAACAGCAGACACTGAAAGAAACGAATCCTTGTTGCGTCCTCAGGGGCTCCCGAGTTCACTGCACAGAGCTGATTATTATGTAAACAAACCTATTAGTCCACGCATGTGCTTTTAATTGCAGGGTGCTTCTGAGGAGTCTGGGCTACCGTGGCTACACACAAAGAATGGGCGTGAGTTGTCCCTCGAAAGGGAGCCCCGAGACTCGTGGATCGTTTTTTTCTTTCTTTCTTGAAGCAACAATCTGAGCGTTCAGTTGAGTCTGGGAGAGACAGCGAGCACACAGGCGGGATGGAGAGCACAGGTAAGTCAGACATAAATGCGCTTTCTTCTGGAAACATATCCTTACAGTTCTCATTAGGTGCAAGGACGCGCACCTGTGACGTATTAATGTATTTTTTTTAATATTTAAAGTGTTTATAGACGCACTAAATGTAGATTAGATCTTAGAAAAGACGATTTTTAAAAGACTATCAATTCCTTTTTGCCGATTGTACTGATAGCAGATGTGCATTTTACGCATGATGGCCATTTTACGCACAGAGAATTTATCAAGTTTAGTGAGTAAAATGTTTTAATTTTCAGTCGTGTTTTTCCCAAAAAATAATTCCATTATGTCCTTACGTGTCATCAGGTATTACTAAAGCAGCTGCTTGAATACTTTCCCACAATCAACTAAGACGCAGAGGAGGGAGGGGAGTTTCAGCCGGAGTGCGTCTGTGTCAGAGGGTGTTTGAGAGAGTGAGGGAGCATCACAGACAGGAGGAAGAAAAAGAGGGGGGAAACGAAAGAGGGACCAAGTCTGGACCGGGTGATCGACAAACCTCCAAGGGGCTGCCGGGTTGTATCATTGTGTTCAGGATCAGTGATCCAGCCATGGTGCCAGCGCGCTGCCCGGGACCGTGTGCCATCCTGGCACTGGCCACTCTCTTGGGATGCGGCGTAGTTCTTTGCCTCGGTCAGAACGACACGGAACCCATCGTGTTGGAAGGGAAGTGTCTGGTGGTGTGCGACTCGAACCCTTCGTCTGACGGAGCGGTAACCTCCTCACTTGGCATATCAGTCCGCTCCGCTGGGGCGAAAGTGGCTTTTTCCGCTGTGCGTGGGACCAATCATGAGCCGTCAGAGATGAGCAACACGTCCATGACCATCTACTTTGACCAGGTAAGAAGTTCAATCAGCGCAACACAAACATTATGTGAATAGATTTGGTTATGCGTCTTTACGCACTTTTTGAACGTTCTGTGTGCGCACAAAACTTGTTTGGTGACTTTCTTTGATATTCCGTTCCTCCTTGTTCTTCCCTCGATCCTCAAACTACAGAACACTGCGTCGTTTTTTCTTTTTCTTTTGAGTGGGATTCAACAAACGCTGTGCGTAATTGGAGAAATCTGGCAAGGTGCTGCCAAAAGCGCAGTCACTCACGCAGAATCATTCATCACATAAACGGCGCATTTATGTTTCAGTTGCGCAGCCCTGAGTAGATGTTCCGGCTGAGGTCTTTGGACAGCGGCCTGTTAAGTGCACCAGAACGGGAACCCTCCCCACACACTAAAAAGGCGACTGAAGCGCAAATTTACACATTTGGCACAATCACACGCAGACGTCCTGACGCCCATCTCTGCAGTAAAGCCATATGAGATCCCAACACACCTCATTCTGCCTTCCTTTTCAGGTTTTAGTGAATATTGGAAACCATTTCGATCTGAAAGCAAGTGTTTTTCAAGCTCCGAGGAGAGGGATTTATAGTTTCAGCTTTCACGTGGTGAAGGTCTACAACAGACAGACGATACAGGTGAGGGATTAGAAAGTACTCACCTCCAATTTAGGGGTTTAATAGGTGAGATTTTCCGCGCACATGGACTCAAATGTACTTTTCCCTGCAGGTGAACCTGATGCAGAACGATTATGCGGTCATATCAGCGTTCGCCGGTGACCAGGACGTTACAAGAGAGGCGGCCAGCAACGGAGTACTGCTGATGATCGAGCGGGAGGACCGGGTGTATTTGAAGCTGGAGCGGGGCACCCTCATGGGTGGATGGAAATTTTCCACCTTCTCGGGCTTCCTAGTCTTTCCTCTATAATCCATTCTGCGATGGTTGGCGTCGCACGGGACTCTGCTCATTATAGGTTCAGGAAGATGAAGATGGTGAAGAAGAAAACGAAAAGAAACATGCCATTTATTTTTCAATTTAAATAACTGTCAGCCAAGGAAGCCGACGAATATCTGTACACTCCTCCACTATATAGTCAAATATCAACGTTTCTTTGGAGTTTCATATATTCGAGCCCATCAATCAACTCTAAAGCAGTCTGGATGATTAATCTAATCCATCGGCCAGTGATTGGCATGTGCTTGTCGAGTATGTGGATTTTTCTCCCACCCCCTTCCTTGCCTGGAAAAAAACGAACTTTTTGGTGCAACAAGGGGACAGGCCGAGTGTGTAATGCTCTATTTTGTGTTTGTATAGCCTTAAAGATGATACCCCCCCCCCCCTTTTTTTGTCGGAATTATGGACAACCGAAAGAGAAGTGCTTTCACGCCCATGGCAAAATCTTTTTTTTTTTTTTTTTGCACGAATGGAAGTTTTTTCTCCTCTTTTTTTGTGTGTGTGTGCTGTCATTGGTGTTGCGTTTGGATGCTCTTGAAAATAAGCCAAATGTAGGCCGCGGACCAGTTTTATTATGAGACTTTAAAAAGGCGACATATTTGAGCCACAGCAACAGACTTACAGCCCTTTTATTTAAAGAGAGATTAAAAGAAGAAGATATATCTCATTCCTGAATATTCACATTACTGTGTGTTCTACATTTGGGAATTTGCGTAGCTTTGACTGATTTCATGTTCAGTGACTTTGCTCACTTAATGTACATTGTGGAAAATAATAGAAGAATCCCTCATATGTCCCGCTAAATAAACGATATTGTATTGTATAGGCTACACGCGCATTCATCACCTCTTGTTTACGAGTTTAAAACCGAAAATTGATTATTTGTTGTTTAGAATCTGAGGAAACAGTTATTCGCTGTCCGTGGTGCTGAAATCCAAAATAGACGTTCTGCAGCTTTTGTCACCGGGTAATTAAACAAACACATTCATTTTACATCTGAATGTGTTTGGTTTAAATTAAATAACAAAATTTTATATTTTTATCACTATAGATTGTTTCTAAAGCCTTATTATAGAAATACAGTTATTGTGTCACACTGGGGGCTGCAAAGTGATCAGGAGCAGCAACTTGCAGCAACTGTTGAGCACTGGTTTGTCTAAATATCCCTAAAAATAGAAAAATTCACCCTCAGAGCAGATTACAAAGATACTTTCAAACGACATTTGGATATAAAATGTAAAATAAAGAATATAATCCTATATGACAAAGAAAATGAATGTAAGTTGAAAGTTTTCAACTCTTGTGATGACACTTTAGACACACACACACACACACACACACACACACACACACACACACACACGCACGCACGCACGCACGCGCACGCACACACACACACACACACACACACACACACACACACACACACACACACACACACACACACACACACACACCTGAGTCAAGAGGATTCAGGTGACCCAGAATGATCAAAGTGAAAAGACTGAACTGAGCAAGAAATTCACTTATTATTTGTTTCCTATTGACGATTTAAAAGAAAAGTGTTATAGCAATTGGAATGCTATCTCACAAATATGGGTTAAAACAACAAAAACAAGGTCTAAGAGATAAAAGGCCACCAATGAGAAGCTGACTTAATCTAAAAAACTTTTACATTTTGAATCAGTTAATCTGTGGAAAGCACCGACAAACTCTCGCCTGAAAAGTGAAACCAGAAAATTGCCCTCAGATTAAAAATTCATTAATCCAGTTGCCAGATATTTCAGGTTTCTTTATAAAGGAAGTTCAAATGCACGAAAGGTCCACATTTGACCATTTTGTTTATAAAAAACAAAAACTCTTTATTTGTAGTGAAACATTCAAAGTGAATTATGAGATATAATCATTCCTAACTCCAAAATGCACTTATAGGTCAAACTAAAACAAGTAGAATATGGTGCAAAAGTTCATTTATGTCGTTATTTGAGCATAAAAGGTTAAACAAATGAACTTGGAATGAACACCTGCAGCTGCTGGGCAGCTGGGAACCCACTTGCATGCCTCAGCGATGCAGATATCTGTTTTTTCCTGTAAATTTCTTACCTTCATCTTGTGTCTAACAGAACGTAGCAGCTGAGAACAAAGAGAGAGAGAGACCTGCTGATATGCTGCTGATGCCAGCAACAGGGCTGCACGAAGCAGCAGAAGCTGCCAGGAAAACCGGTGTGTTTGAAACTGGCCTACATAGAGCTAATTGTTTGCACTCTGGAATGAAAAGGCTGCACAGAAACGTCCCTCCATGATAATTGACAGAGCTGTCGGTTTAATTCATCACAATAAACAACAAACAAAAACCTTTTTTTGTTTCACATCATCAAATGAGTCCAGCTGAATCACTTTATTGTTTAAATGATTAAATTTTGAAAAATGCATATTGCGTGCTTGTAATAAATCCTTGAGTAGGCAGAGTGTTTGTAATTAATAAGCACACTTTACCCAAAACAAAGTGTAAATATCACTTGGAGGCCAACAGTATTGCAAAAGTGTTCTCACCCTAACAGGAATATTTTTATTGTTCAGTTGTTTTTTTAAGTGCACAAAATCTCCAGAGTTTCTGTACAAGCTTTTGTTATTAAAGCACAGATGGTGTTTTACTGCATGTTGCAGAACACACATGGACATTTAACACATCCAGACGCTGTTAAAATGCTGCAAACGCATCCCTGGGATTTTAAATATCGTCTAAGGATGCATGCATTCTTTAAAAAAAAACGGCTTTTGATTTCTGTGACACGTGGAGATCAGAGATGGGCCTGGAACCCGCAGCAGGGCGTGGCGGCAGCAGCTCTGTGTGTAAGGCAAGATCCACATCGGTTATTCCTTCACGAGGTTTTTTTACAGTCTCGTTGTTCAAACCCGCTCCTTCAGCACTAATTCTGTTAAAAAAACTAACATTACCTTTAAAATGGTTTCTGATTTGAAAGCTGTCCTCTGAGAGATCAAAAACAGCTTTGACATTCATCTCGGCTCCTCTTGTAATCTTTAAACATTTAATTATGCTGCCTCTTCCGAGGGTGATTGGTGCAGTCATAACAAGGATGATGGTTAAAATGTCATGTTTTCTCTCTATTTTCGTACATTAATAGGAAAAAACATGAATCACTTGTGCATAAAAGGAAAGCATCCAAAAGTCTTCCTAACATGCAAGAAAAGCAGGATTTCTGCATTCTTTTGGTCTGATAATACAGGATTTGCAGAACTGCGTTATGTTTTTTTCTTTCCACATAAATTAGTTATGTATAAAATGGACTATTCATGCTACAGTTTTGGTGCTTAACTTTAAATAATGTAGCCTGCACAACTAAATTGCTGCTTTCACCTTGAATAATCTACTTAAGTTTTAGATCTGAGTACATTTTAAGGATACACTTCAGTTTACATCTCTTTAGTGGAAAATCTACTTTCTTCTTGAGATCTAATATTTTAAAAATGAATTGATAACACTTTACAATAAGTGTCCCTTCATTAAGTCACTTAATGCATAATTAAGCATTAATAAACAAAGGATTCCTTTATTAATGTTACTTAGAGTGATGTTAAGCATTAATAAACAAGGTATCTCTTTAATAACATTCTGGATATTGTTTAAGTGTCCTAATGGTTAGGACAAAATTCCAGGGGTGGTCTCTGCTTATTTATGCATTACTTAATATTAACATTAATCTAAGCAGTTTTTAATACTTTGATAAGCATTAATAAACAATTAAATAATGTCCTAAGTAACGTTAAGAAAGGGACCCTTATTGTAAAGTGTCACCAATGCATTTTCTTACTCCAAATTCTACCTCTAGTTCTGGATTCTTTGTCTTTTTTCTAATATGAAATACAAAGAGAGCAATTTTAGTTAAATTAAATATTAAAAGAATGTTAAAATGGGAAGTTTTGACCAACAAGGCAGTGTTTGACGCCATGTTTCTGCTCAAATTTCTACATCTCATTCTTTCGCCCTCTTTCCTTCTATGACGATATTCGTTGTACTTTTATTCCGACAGGACTTTCAACCCTCTCTTTTTGAGTGCAGATGAGCTAAATGCATTGATATGCATGAGAAAGGGGAAGGGGGAACTTGGCAAAAAGGTGCCTTTTGCCATAGTCTCATTTTCTCTCAGCCCTATCGTTCCTGTTGTTGGTGAAATTGCCTTAAGTGTGATTGTGAGTGCGAATGAGCCTTTCAAGTTGCTCCCAGGCAAACCTACAGGCAAAGTTCCTCCTGGGTCTGAAACGGCCCTCAGGGGCCTACTCGCTCAATCTGATATCTAATGTGGCTGTGAGTTAAAAGGAAATGCATAAATGTTCTGAATTTATCTCTGGCTTCAATAGTCCAGACCTCTCAATTTCATTCCTGTTAATTCCACGAGCCGCAGTAAAAAAAATCCCACCTGTTTCCGCTTCCACTCTACAGTCAAAATTTCTTCTTTAAATTTTCAAACTTCCAACGACTGAACCTCACAAAGTTGACAAGAGTTACCTTCAACTTAGGCGCAGCGGCTGTGCGGTGACCCAACTAATTTGCACTTGAATGGGGGGGGGGGGGGGGGGGGGGCTTGGGAAGAATGTTGCTGAGAGGATAACATGTGGCAGTCGCTTGTTAATAATGCATTTGTTTGCCAAACAAATAAATAGACGCGTAACACTGACAAACATCAGTCACAGCGCCGCCTCTGTGAGCAGGCCCATCCCTGAAGAAAAGACAGAGAAAGTCTGTTTATTCCTTCTGCCACCGCTCGCAATATCCATACTGCTGAAACACGCAATTCCCAAAAGAAAATACAAGCTCGCCCACCACTCTCCCGTTCTTCTCTCTTCCTCCCCTGTTTCAGTCCTCCCCCCTCCTCCTACCACACACAGGCATCCCCAGCTCATATGAGCTACTCCTTGATGTGATGCTTCCAATACATCATCTGTCTCCACATTAGATTCGGGCGCAGCAAGCCTGAGAGACAGCTTCCTGGGCCCAGCACCTAACCAGTTTAACTGCATTCATTAGAATCCAAAAAAAGGGAAAAATTCTCCCTCGGCACCTCCAGCTGCAGTGGAGGACAAAGCACACACACCACTGGCTGTGGAGCCTCTGGATCAGGGATGAGCGCACACACACTTTTATATGATTCCTGTGTTTTGGGTGACGGATGTGACAACACTGCAGAGGGAGAGGAGCTATTTTACAGATGTGTGTGCAGATTCTGGTTTTAGGAGTTTTAAAGATATTTCAGAACAGATGCAGCTCAGAGTTAAGAATCAGAATCACATTTACCGACCAAGTGTGTAACAAATACACGTAATTATTGCACAAACAGTGCTGTGAGGAGTCTTAACCTTGTTGCAGATTTTATTTTTTGTCACATTTAAAGTGCTATTTTACTTGATGTTCAGAAAATTTGCTGTGGTCTCTAGTATAAATTAATGCCTTGAGTTGTTTTCTTTGGGAATAAAAGCTCTGGCGCTTCAGTTTTAGGAAGTAGAAGTTAGCCAGAGTCGAGGGAAGCAGAAAAGGCAGGATTTACTCATTAATATTCAACACATCTTGCCTCTGATTGGCTAACAGCGATGCAAGTCTTCCACTGCCTCCATTCACTCTGCAACATTGATTTTTTTATCTCCACAAATCCAAAAGGAGACTGGTGGGTGTGGGGGAGTGTCTACCCAAGCTGGGCAAGCAGCTCCCTGGGACAGTGCCAGAATGCTAGATAGGCCAGTCCACCCCAGCAGGAACTTGGCTTCAGGTTTTTAAAGGGAGACTAGGCAGTTTAGGCTTGCTTTTAGCACCC